AGTATCCAATTTGTTTTTAAGTCTCAATCTACATTTGTAGATCATACTAACAAGAGAAACACAGAAGTAATTTGACATTTCTAAATCATAAAAACAGGTATACAAATATGTATCCAGTCTAGGAGGATACTGCTGTGCTATGAAAACATAAGTCTTCTCTGTCTCCACTTTTTAAATGTCAAACCACATGAACCAACCATTCAGAGCTGCCCCTGTGTCTTAAAGGGTAACCCGTATTTTTCAACCTGGATCCATTTTCCCTTGTTTTTGTGTCTAAGTGACTCATGAGAACAACATTTTTTTAAAATTGGTCCAGTACTAAGCAAAGAGGCTGCATTATGGAAAGGATCCCTACATAGGTAGACCTTTTGTTACATCCTGTATGTTTAAATCCACCAGACTCCATTTAAATAAACAGTCATTTTTTCCATCATAAAACTCGATTCATTCAAAGTCGACAGAAGCATATTAAATCTCACAAATACAGTCTTTCTTCATCCCTCCACTGTTACAAAATTCACTGACTGTGGTTTGGTTGAAAAAACTCTTAACTCACCCAATTAGATGTGAAAATATAATAGCTCTATACATGTAAAATTACTGTACTTAAATGGGGTCTGGTGGGTTTGGCACTAGCGATTTTGGGGCTGTGTGTACAAAAATGATCTTATTCATTTAACCGCTATTTAACCGGGAAGTCCCATTGAGATTGAAAATCTTTTACTGGAGAGACCTGGCCAAGGTTGCAGCCAATCAAAACACATTAAAATGAAACAAATAAACATATAATACAAAAATCCACCATAAAACAACAACTATTCAAACATAGTAGCCTCTCAAGAAAAACAAGCACGTGTCTCTGTCACCACATTCTTTATGATGCCCTTAAATTCCTTGATGGATATAAGTGTTTCTAATTATAGATCTTTTTGGAGATTGTTCCATGTCCAAGGTGCAGAGTAGTAAAATGAAGTTTTCCCCAGATCTGTTAAAACCAATAGTATGTCTCTGCAGACCCGGAGACTGCAGATTCAGACCCGCAGTTCTGGACCCGCAGTTCTAGACCCCTTGTTTTTCGTCCCCTACTGGACGGCTGTATAACTGCAACTAAATCAGCATCTCACCCAAACACCACTGTTTGAAAGAATTTGGACTTTTAATGCTTTATTACAATTTACAATTTTAAAATTTTATTACACCCGAATAAAAATACCAAGATTTAATTGTTGACTTATGCCTGGGTGCTGTTCTGCATCATTATTGTTTGCTGGTTGTTCTGTATGGTTTGATCCAACTATTTTAGTTCTTTATTTCTTAATATTCATCAGACTGCTCTGACTAGCACGCCAAAAACTTGCACTGCATTGATCAAACCCGCTACAACATATAATAGGAAATGTCTGGTCTTGGGTGTCCAGTGCTCACTTTTGTTGTGGGAATTTGAAACAAAGGCTGTGAAATACTGAAATGGTTTGAAATGTTTTATTGTGTGCAGTGGTTACATCACACATCAGGGAGATCTGCAGAAAAAAAAAAGAAATCAAACATATCACAAAATTGAAAACAGAAACACTTAAAAAAAATTAAATACCTATCACAGTCTACACTGAAATACTGAAGATTCTGGAGCATAGCAAATACATTATTATATCGACATATTAACAATAGTGCCCCTTCCTTCCTCATCTGCCTTTCGATCCTCCACAAAACTCCTCCACTTCACTGTGGTTTCCCCTTTCTGGATTGTTATGTGCACCTTAAAAAGAGAGTCCCTAATTATTCAAAGTTAAGATTTTTCAACCGTTTTACACACATAAACAAGGCCAAAACCTAATAATAGACAAAAATACATTTCTGATCATCTGCGCTGGATGAGCTTAATTTCTATCCACAAAATCTCTAAATATATGCTATAGAGTAATATCAATGTAGTGATATAAACACACGTGATATATAATATTATGAATAATAAAGGAAAAACGTGTGTAGGTGTATTACATGATAAACATGAATACAAAATTAACTTTTAGCATAAAGTACACTAATTGCCAATATGTAAACAGTTTCATGCTTGTATGAAAACGTAAGCCTATACACGTTTTTCTCATATCATCCACTTCATTGCTTTAATCATTTATTCATGTTTAATTTAAAGCACATGCTAAAATTATTCGTCATCGCGCTTCGGTTTCATGAAACAAAATGTGCAGGTCAAACAGTTCTTTGTTTACAAGCTAAACTATTACCTTCTACTTTAACCCATATTTGACGTGCCTTTCAGACTATCGTGGTAAAGACAGTCATATCATTTTAAACGTATAACTGTAAAACATGAAATTCGCTCTCTAATTCAAGTCAACAAAATAGTTTAAACAAATAAAATGATTCACATTCAATACTCACACTTGGATCGTCGTCGGCCATATTCAATAGTTGTAATAGTATGTTGGCTTCCAATGAAATAGAGGGCGCTGTCGCGAAATACAAGGAGTCTAGAACTGCGGGTCCAGATCTGCAGGTCTGAATCTGCAGTCTCCAGGTCTGCAGACACACCCTCCTCGTTAAAACCTGGGGTACATTGAAAAGCAACCACCTGGAGGAGTGTAGCTGCTAACTACCAGAACTGACACACAGTGGGGTGCAATGGTACTGTAGGCTGGAAGTTTGCCTAAGGTCTATCTCTGTAGGGTCAGACACTTATAACAATTTGAGCCAGTAAGTGGCAAAACAAGCTCTTTTAGTAGACAAATTGGTGGTGGCAAATGCCATGATGATGTTTGAAGGGGCTCTCTCAAAACTGGGCCACTTTCAAAATTATTGGTCCCATTGGTCACTTGTGTGTCCAGGTTGAAAAAATACCAAAGTTACCCTTTAAATCACAGTGGGAGCACATATCATTAGAATTCAGGAACAGGTTTATATAGAGTGGATGTCTCTGTTTGAGCAGCCATTGTTTCAAATGATGAAGCAAAGCCAACAACACTGCTGGCCAAATGAGGAGGCAGCTCATGAATGTGGCTTTTGTTATGTTAACAAGCCCCTAATAGTCCATTTTTACTAGAGGTGCTTGAAAAGCCCTGAAAACCAAACAACTTTTGATGAAACTGAAAAAAGGAGTCAAATACATTTCAGAGACAAACACTATTTATATCAATTCATTGTAAGAGCTCATTTTAGTAAATAACAACCAATCAAACATGATTCTTAAAATAGGAGCAGGATAGCTTGCCATCCTATCCACTAGTTCACAGATGGCAGCACTAAAAAACACTAATCATAGGTGTTTAAACTGAATTTAAAAGACACACTATGATCAGATGGAGCCATATAAAATGTCTATGAATACTAGTGTAACCTGACAGTCAATCAAAGTGGAGTGTTAACACATTTACACAGATACAGTACAGGCCAAAAGTTTGGACACACCTTCTCATTCAATGCGTTTTCTTTATTTTCATGACTATTTACATTGTAGATTCTCACTGAAGGCATCAAAACTATGAATGAACACATGTGGAGTTATGTACTTAACAAAAAAAGGTGAAATAACTGAAAACATGTTTTATATTCTAGTTTCTTCAAAATAGCCACCCTTTGCTCTGATTACTGCTTTGCACACTCTTGGCATTCTCTCCATGAGCTTCAAGAGGTAGTCACCTGAAATGGTTTCCACTTCACAGGTGTGCCTTATCAGGGTTAATTAGTGGAATTTCTTGCTTTATCAATGGGGTTGGGACCATCAGTTGTGTTGTGCAGAAGTCAGGTTAATACACAGCCGACAGCCCTATTGGACAACTGTTAAAATTCATATTATGGCAAGAACCAATCAGCTAACTAAAGAAAAACGAGTGGCCATCATTACTTTAAGAAATGAAGGTCAGTCAGTCCGGAAAATTGCAAAAACTTTAAATGTGTCCCCAAGTGGAGTCGCAAAAACCATCAAGCGCTACAACGAAACTGGCACACATGAGGACCGACCCAGGAAAGGAAGACCAAGAGTCACCTCTGCTTCTGAGGATAAGTTCATCCGAGTCACCAGCCTCAGAAATCGCAAGTTAACAGCAGCTCAGATCAGAGACCAGATGAATGCCACACAGAGTTCTAGCAGCAGACCCATCTCTAGAACAACTGTTAAGAGGAGACTGCGCCAATCAGGCCTTCATGGTCAAATAGCTGCTAGGAAACCACTGCTAAGGAGAGGCAACAAGCAGAAGAGATTTGTTTGGGCCAAGAAACACAAGGAATGGACATTAGACCAGTGGAAATCTGTGCTTTGGTCTGATGAGTCCAAATTTGAGATCTTTGGTTCCAACCGCCGTGTCTTTGTGAGACGCAGAAAAGGTGAACGGATGGATTCCACATGCCTGGTTCCCACTGTGAAGCATGGAGGAGGAGGTGTGATGGTGTGGGGGTGTTTTGCTGGTGACACTGTTGGGGATTTATTCAAAATTGAAGGCACACTGAACCAGCATGGCTACCACAGCATCCTGCAGCGACATGCCATCCCATCCGGTTTGCGTTTAGTTGGACGATCATTTATTTTTCAACAGGACAATGACCCCAAACACACCTCCAGGCTGTGTAAGGGCTATTTGACCAAGAAGGAGAGTGATGGAGTGCTGCGGCAGATGACCTGGCCTCCACAGTCACCGGACCTGAACCCAATCGAGATGGTTTGGGGTGAGCTGGACCGCAGAGTGAAGGCAAAGGGGCCAACAAGTGCTAAACACCTCTGGGAACTCCTTCAAGAGACTGTTGGAAAACCATTTCAGGTGACTACCTCTTGAAGCTCATGGAGAGAATGCCAAGAGTGTGCAAAGCAGTAATCAGAGCAAAGGGTGGCTATTTTGAAGAAACTAGAATATAAAACGTTTTCAGTTATTTCACCTTTTTTTGTTAAGTACATAACTCCACGTGTTCATTCATAGTTTTGATGCCTTCAGTGAGAATCTACAATGTAAATAGTCATGAAAATAAAGAAAACGCATTGAATGAGAAGGTGTGTCCAAACTTTTGGCCTGTACTGTACATCTTGAAATACTTTCACATTTGTTGTAGTTGTATTGTCCACATTCTTTAGCTTTATTCTTGCAGCCACAATCTGGCAAAACAAGTCCATCCTATTACAGTCTCTAGTCCTGGAATGATCTGCAGGCCAAGCTCAAACTCAAAACCCTTATCTCTTTACATGATTCTAAACTTGTTGCTGTTGTAATTTGTTATTGTCTTGTTAGTTTTATTTCTGTCTTGACTAGGTCCCACTTGTAAAAGATGTTTTAATCTCAATGTGAATTCCTAGTCAGATAAAGGTTATATATATTTAATGCAGTCTTTCAAAAACGAGATGTCCAGAGACCTCCTCAGAACAGGTTGTCCTTTGATCACCAAGGTTGGCGGTTCTATCTGCAGCTCCTCCTGTCCACATGTTGATGTGTCCTTGAGTGAGACATTGAACTCAAAGTTACTCCCTAAAGGCAGGCCTGCGCCTCGTATAGCAGCTCCACCACCATTGGAGTATGAATAAGTGTGTGAATGGGTGAGTGAGAGGCAAAATGTAAAGCACATTGTCAAGCAAGGCAGAAAGGTGCCTTGGACAGTTTTGGGTGGAGAAACACACATGGAGAAATAAACTAACACAACCCCAGAGAGATTTAAAAAAAAATATAAACCAGACATCCAATATGTTGGTGAAGATTCTCAGTCACCCAGGTCATGGCAATCCTAAGTGCTACATCGTAGGCAGCTGGACTTCACTGGGTTTCTTGAAGACATTTCACCTCTCATCCAAGAGGCTTCTGCAGTTCACTGAAGAGAAGAGAACTGAAGAAGCCTCTTGGATGAGAGGTGAAACACATCTTCAAGAAACTCAAGCAAGTCCAGTTGCCTAAAATAAAGCACTTAGGACAAACATCCAACATTAGCTTATATAAAATACAATCCAGAGTTTAGGGAATAAGGCAAACTAGTTAAATGTATGCGCTAGCTGCTCAAATTACAGAGATCTTGAAACTTCTATACTCATATATTTCCACCTTCTCCATCTTTACAGTTTAAATTTCACTGTACATTCATAAAATACATAACTGTGACATCACAGATTAGCAAGATAAAAAAACACTATTCATTGAACAGTAAATTAGTAGAAATATAGTTTTCTATTATGTGGCTTCACACTATTCAGGGATTAAAAACAGTGTTAAAATGGTTATTGGGCTAACTGCTCTTTAAATCTTTCGCCTGGGTTTAATCCATAACACAGAACATCACCATCCACTGCTGCCCAAGCCATTCGCACTGTGGTAAAGGCGACTGCCCACTGTCCTGACGGAGAAACTGCAATAGCACCTCCTGCACCCTGAACACGGTCTCCCATGTACTTCAGAGACAACTGGGAAGAATCAGCCAGTGATTTACCTGCGTAGGAGAGGAGGAAACATGGACATAGATGGAAAGTAGCAATAAATGAAATCTATAAATGCTATTTTCAGATAAATAAGACCTAAAAACTTGTTTAAACAGCTACATTTAAATCAAAGTGGGAACTTGGAGTAAACAGAAGCTCACATTTCATTCTATCTGTCCTAAAGTATCTAATTAATGTTTATTATTTATTACAGCATGAAACAGACATCAAATTATATTCACTCAATAAAGTCAGATATATGCGGTTTGTCTTGATGTAGAGTATTTCAAAGTGTGATACTTCACCTTGTGCAACGTGTGAAAGAATGAGTCTGGCCAGTGTGACTTTAAGGATAGACTCTCCATGACCGGTACAAGACACTGCACCAGTGAAGTTGTCTGCATATGCTCCAGAGCCTTATTTACATGAGGGAACGTTGAAAAACACAACATTAATCAACTTCCTTTCTTTCTTTTTTTTTTTTTCAGTTGCTCAATTTCACACATTGGTGTCCGTAAATACTAGAAAAATTAAATTATAATCAGGAAACAGAAGTGCTAAATAAACTGTAATTTTAGCGTGAATAGAGCCAGCATATCTTTACATCTAACTCTATGAATCCGGGGGTTTTTTCCAGCCGAACTAGAGTTGGTGAGTGTCAGAATAGTGGAAAGACAAACCAAGACTCTCCATTTAAACAAACAGTAATTTTGTCATTGTAAAACCCACTTTATTCAAAGTCAACAGGAACAAAATGAAACTTAAAAAAGCCATCTTGATTCGTCTTTCCACTGTTCCAACAATCACTACTCAGGTTTGGTTGAAATAAACCCTTAACTCACCTCATCAGATGTGATAATATGCTGGCTCTAAACACACTAACATTACAGTTTATTTAAATTGAGTTTGTTGGGTTTGGTGATAAAAAATTTCAGGGCTGTGTTTTATGAAACCATAAGGATTGTATTCTAAAAAAGGTTGCTTTCTGTAGAGTTCTATCCGAAACGTTATCAGATACTTAAAGTAACAAGCTAAACCTGTTAGTGACATGCACGCACTTTGAGAAACATACATTGATGGTGTGTGATTGCCTCGAGGGATTACAATAAATCATGTTCCTTAATTAAAAATCTGTGCAAGAAATTCAGTAGGTCGTCATGAGCATGTCTGCATACCTAAATGCATTGAGTTGCTGCCACGTGATTGGCTGATTAGCTATTTGTGTTGACTAGCAAGTCGAACAGCTGTACCTAATAAAGTGGCTGGTGAGTGTATACTGGCTCTATACATGCTAATATTACTGTTTATTTAAATGGAGTCTTGGGGTTTGGCGATAGCAATTTCGGGGCTGCTTTTGGTTAAACAAAAAGGATCTTACTCTTTAAGAAAAAGGTCTGTCTCTGTAAGGATCCTTTCCATAATGACACTTAAAATAACAATTTAACCTCGTCAGTGGCAAAACAAGCACTTTTAGAAGACATACATTAACAGTGCATATGCCCTAAGAGGTTACATCGGAGCCTGTTTTGCTGCTACAGCTGCAGCCCTCTCAGTGGTCATGTAGACACAAAAATATGGGAAAACACGGTCTATTTGGAAACACTGATGTTAGCCTTTGACTGCAGCTCACAGTGTAAAAAATGCTATTTGAGACAGAGTAAGAAATGAGGTCATACCGATGATCGGAGAGTCTCCCACTCTGCCAACCATTTTATGTCTGATCCCTCCAGTTGATGTTGCACATGCAACATTACCAGCACAGTCCAAAGCAACTGCCCCAACAGTATCATGGGCCCTAGGATGAGAACATAAGGTGATAAAGGTGAACATATTTCACTTTTTATGTAGCTAACATTTCCTCTCACTCTCCAATACACACACACCCACATTCTCTACCAAGCAGGCCCCAGAGTTTCTATTTATTTTATTTCAGGTTAGAGTCACACTGGGTTATTAAGCCTGAAAAGATGCTGTGAAGAGATGAATGAGGAAATCTGAGTCCAGACTTGAAGGGGTCAAAATAAAGTCAAACACTGCAGGTACTCACCACTGAGAGTTGAAATCCTCCATAACTCCAGTAACATAAGCCTTGTGCCTCTCCCACTCTTTCCGCTCATACACAGACACCAGTGTGTCAGTGGGAACCGTGGCCATGCCAATGCTCTCTGCAAACAGGTTTGCACCTCTGCTCGTCAAGTTGACGTTGGTGGTCTGAAGTTTTCAGTGGCAGCGAACATGTAAGGAAAAATTCAGAGGGAAAATGGATTTTAAGACATTTTTATTGACAGGTAATATACAGTCCCTGACAAAAGTCTTGTCGCTTATCCAAGTTGTAGGAACAACAAATAATGACTTGTAGTTGATCAATTGGAATCAGAAATGGCTTATATGAAAGGCAAAGGCCTCTAGATTATGCTTATTATACCAAAATAAAGTTGTGCATCATTCACTGAATTTTATCATTTAATTAGGACAGAAAGGTCAGATCTTGCTTGGACAAAAGTCTTGTCGCATACAAAAATAATGTACTGTAGAAATGATACTTTCTGTTGAATACACAAACATGCTCCAATAACATCAGAACATAAAGTCATGGTGCCTTGGGAAAAAGAATTAATATCGTGTATGACTCCCATGAGCTTGGAGGACTGCATCCATACATCTCGGCAATGACTCAAATAACTTATTGATGAAGTCATCTGGAATGGCAAAGAAAGCAGTCTTGCAGGACTCCCAGAGTTCATCAAGATTCTTTGGTTTCATCTTCCAAGCCTCCTCCTTCATCTTACCCCAGACATGCTCAATAATGTTCATGTCTGGTGATTGGGCTGGCCAATCCTGGAACACCTTGACCTTCTTCACTTTCAGGAACTTTGATGTGGAGGCTGAAGTATGAGAAGGAGCACCATCCTGCTGAAGAATTTGCCCTCTCTTGTGGTTTGGAATGTAATGGGCAGCGAGAACCTCTTGATACTTCAGGCTGTTGATGTTGCCATCCACTCTGCAGGTCTCTCGCACACCCCCATACTGGATGTAACCCCAAACCATGATTTTTCCTCCACCAAACTTGACTGTTTTCTGGGTGAATCTTGGGTCCATGCGGGTTCCAACAGGTCTTCTGCAGTATTTGCGGCGATTGGGATGCAGTTCAATGGATGATTCATCAGAAAAATCAACCTTCTGCCACTTTTCCACTGTCCATCCTTTCTGCAAGCTGTGGGCCTTGGCAAATGCAGCACGATTCTTTTGTTGTCTTCTGTTTAATGCTGGTTTGTGAGCAGTAATTCGGCCATGGAGACCATTGCGTGAGAGAATTCGACAAACTGTTCTGGTAGATACAGGGGTTTCTGGTGACCAGTTCTGATGTAGCTCTGCTGCAGTTGAAAAAGGGCTGGCCCTGGACTGCCGAAGCAACAAACAGTCCTCTCTAACAGTTGTGTTATGGGGTCTGCCTGACCTGGGCTTGTCATGAACGTCACCAGTTTCTTCAAATCTTTTTTTTTGTCCTCTCCACTTGATGTTTGGATACACTGAAGATGTCTGCCACCTCAGCAGCAGACTTGGTCTTCAGGCTCTTGATGATCAGCACTTTGGTCTGTGGTTGAATCTTTGGCATGTTGTCAGCGGTCAGGTTGCACTTCACATGAAGGTCTAGTGTGCTGGGGTTCTTTTTATACACACCTGGGAATGTGTTAATTACAGTATTTGTCACAGGTGGAGCTCTAATCTGTGATTGGTTGAATCGTTTAAAGACACGACAAGACTTTTGTCCAAGCAAGATCTGACCTTTCTGTCCTAATTAAATGATAAAACTCAATGAATGATACACAACTTTATTTTGGTATAATAAGCATAATCTAAAGGCCTTTGCCTTTCATATAAGCTATTTCTGATCCCAATTGATCAACTACAAGTCAGGTTATTATTTGTTGTTCCTACAACTAGGATAAGCGACAAGACTTTTGTCAGGGACTGTAAGTCAGTTTATTGCACACAGATGCTGCTTCCCATTAGAGACATTTATAAACCAATCAGTGGTCTCTGACTGTTTCTTTTAAAGAGAGACAAAAACAAAGATTTTAAGACGATACCTTCTCCATCACTGCCCGTGCCAGTGACACAGGGTTGGTAATGTTCTTCACTGCGGACACAGCGCCACTGGAAAGCGTCTTTCCATCCATGATAATGGCATCCATCTCCACTTCTCCAGCGGCATTTAGCGTTGCTCCGTGCCCTACAATCACAACCAGTGACTTACTTATACAGCAGCTCGAGGGCTGGGAGACATGAAGAAAATCAAATATCACAATATTTTTGACAACATACCTCGATATTATTATTGCAACAATATTGTAGGGTGGACTATTGGTGTGTTCAGTGAGCGCCTGTGTAAACTGGACGGCCTTAATCAGCCCTGAGAAACTAAATTAAATCTAACAACAGTAGACAGAGGGAGTGCAAGAAGGACACACTGGAGATTTCCTTCCTTCTCTGTGTGCACAGGTTTTATGTTGCCTGCTACATCATCACAAGTCCACAGGGTGGTGACAAAAGAGTGCAAAAGAGCACATATCGGTTGTGGTTCACTTTGTTTGGCACTTAAAATGCAGGCACAATAAGACCTTCAAGATTCTCTGGGTGTTCATGTATAATTAAAAAGCTTTGAAAGGTTAAAAATCTAGTTTTAATGTAGCTTTACTGTAGAAAAACACTTGTCTATGTGTCCATGTGAGCCATGGCGCCAGTGAACAGACACCACCTCACATCACCATGAGGTTACAACACATTTTACAGATTTACAGATTTTGGTTGTAATTCCATCTGTGCTCAATGTCTGATCATGCGGATAAGCCCCATAATCAGACAGCAACCTCACCTCCTTTAACCATCATCACTCTGACTCTGACTGTACATGTATGTCGGTGTTGCCACCAGCAGATGGAGACAGTGAGCTTCAGACAAATCCAGCTGAATTAATAAAGAGGATAGTGATTATACGTGATGGGCTTCTGTGGGGACAGGTGGGAGTTGGCTTTTTAAACTGATGTATGAATGAATAAAAGCCAAGAGTTGTGGCTTTAAGACCCTCAATGCAGACTCATTGTGTGATCTAAGTGCATTGAAGGGACAAAAAAAGGGGCCTTGCACACATACAGGTGCCGTGTCGAGGTCTGGTAAAATTGTCGAATAGTGTTTCCCTCCTGTTAAAATTATGTTTCCTATAGCACCAACACCAAAAATTACATTTGTGATGTGACTAAAAAAACAATTGAGACCCGTGGCCACCCTGCTGTTTGGTCAATAAATGTAAGGATAACTGTGTAGAGCAGAGATACTCAACTTCCTGTATCAGATGGCAAGGGCCACTACATAAAGAAACAATGACAATATTTATCAGTATATTTAATTACTGACTTGGCCAATTTAAACCTTTGAACATTTGTTGTCATCACTGAACTTTGCCAAGAGGTCAATCCAGTTGCAGCAGCCCTGCACACTTCAGGTGTATGCAGGGAAGTTTCTAGGCTTTGAGGACATTTGGGGCTGTTGGGGGTCCCAGGTTCCTCCCCTGGCACTTCTTTTTGATAAACAAACTCTATTTTGATGCTTATTTATGCACTCTGGCACCTTGTTTACAGTCAAAGCTTAAATCAGTGTGAATCAGTTTATTTTCATTGTGAATGAGAAAATAGTCACACAGCACTTAAGCATGAGCTGTTAGCTGAGTGTCCCTGGTGTAGAGTATACCTGCATTAAACTCAGTGTTATCCTCCATAGACCTCACAGCCGCCTCGACAGCATCAAGTGCACTTCCTCCTCCTTTCAGCACCTTAGACCCCTCACATGCTGCAAACTTGACTCCATCAACACTGGACTCAGCCAGCTCATCCGGTATGGCCCATGCTCCACCGTGCACAACCATGATGGTTGACATCTTTGAGTCCCTGTAGGAAAAAGAAAAGGAAGTGGTTTATGGAGCCCAGTAGCAGTGGCCCCCCAGCAGGATAATGCACCATGCCACACTGCAAACATCGCTCAGGGTATGGCCCAAGGAATGTGACAAAGACCTCAAAGTGTCACCTGGCCTCCAAATTCCCCAGATCCCAGTCTGAATGAGCATCTGTGGTACGTGCCATTAACCCACCTCTCAACCCACTGGACTAAATGAATCTGCCGCCAACGCATTGGTGCCAGATACCGCAGGACACTCCCAGAGATCCTGTGTCCGTGCCTCGACAGGTCAGAGCCAAGTCCAATCCAAGGAGGCCCCACCTTAGATTAGGGGTACATCTGGGATCCGGCACATCACAAGAATCCTTGAGCAGATTGGGACTGGGGAAATTTAGAAGCCAGGTCAACCCCTTGAGCTTTTTGTCATGCTCCACAGTCCAACAAAATGTGGGAGTCACTCACTATCAAGCATGATCTGAAAGCAGGGCATCCTTTTCTGACACATGGTCACAGGAGCACACGCTGTGAGAAGAATGGAAGAATATTTGCCCTAGTAATCATATTTAAAATGACATGAAGTGTAAATAAAAATACATGTGTGTGTATGAAGTTGTAGAGAGGGTTTTATGAAGTATTTTTATTTTGCATGCTCAGAAACTCAGGGCAACGTTGTGCGATAAGAGGTACTTCTTTATTATCTTTACTATCATCATTATTTCATGCATTTGTGCACAAAACTAGCTGCTTACTTGTTTTAACACATTTTGACAGAAAAATGGACGTAAGATTGTTCTGTGGGAGGACAGAGCAGGATCGGCATGTTAGGGATTTCCCATCTGACAGTGAGGACAGTGACACAGACAGCAATGACAGTGGGGTAGAGTGGAGTGGAGAGAAAGGTTTGAGCAGAACAGAAAAAAAGGGTTTTAATTTCATAACGCAGACAGTATAGTTGTAGATGTTCTGGTTGTATTTTCATTAGCATCGAGAGCTTACTTTTTATATATTATTATATATTATACATGAGAATCAATATGACTATCAAGTCATATATGTAAATACGTTTCAAGTGTTTTTCAGGTCTTTGTTGCATAATTTGTTGACATTTTTGGAAGATTTTCTGATGTTTTTATTGCTCTCTAACTGTTGTCTTATGATCTATGAATTATTATTATTATTTTTTTTCAATAAAAGGGCCCAAAGTGAATCAGTAAATGATGTTGAATAATTTTCAGCATGTACCATCAAAATGTGTGCAGTAGAGGGATCTGATCATCAATATTATTGATGTTCTTCTCCAGTCCACGTTAAGCTTTTACTGTTCATAATTTACCTGCCTGGGTAAATAAAATGCAAACATATACTTTACTTTGATGAATCACTGTACCGTGCTGTATTAGCTATCTTTGCATAACATATTTATTCAAGTGGCTGCAACAACTACAAACTATAATAAATCAATACAGCTGTAACTGCCCTCTGCTTTCTGCCATTTAAACCTGTGTGTTTGCGCGTATTGGGTGCAAATAAAAATTTTTATTATTTCTATGGTTGGATGATTCATTCATTCATTCATCTGATGCAGCCTTCAGCTGATCCATACATATTTTCAAGTGTTGATCTGAGTTAAGGACTAAACTGTAGGACACGTGTTGATCCCTCAGGCAGTGTGTGTGTGTGTGTGCACAGCCTCCTCGGACACACTGATTACTCTAAGCAGACAATAATTGTTTGACATAGTTTTGTGCATCCGGTTGAAAAACATGATGTAGCAACATTTAATGAAGTATTTGGACTTTTCTTACCTTTCCCGGTCTCCTGGCTTCAAGACACCATCCGCCATGTTCACGTGACTCGTCGGATTTGTGAAGTGTTTTGCTCCTGTACATTCCCACCATAGACCAGCGCCTGCACACTGACGTCAAGTCCAGTACAAGTCAAGGTGAGACTTCCGGTGAAACCTTTCAAAATAAAACCCTAATAAAACTTGTAAGAATAACAATCTTAAAATAAAGTGGACAGATGAATGGACTTTCTGTTTCCTGCTGTTCTTTTGACAGCACACTTATTAAATTTATATACCAAACATAAGAGCAATATACCTTTGGTGGTGAAATCTATGGCTATCTAAGTTTTTGTTTTTCAAACCTGCTGTATCTACTGTCACATCACCGTGAGGGTATAACACATTTTACATGTTTACAGATTTTGCTTGAGACTCCATCTGGGATTTATGTTGGATTATGAGGATGAGCCCCATAATCAGACAGCAACCTCCCCTGCTAACCATCATCACGCTGTATGTCCGTGTTGCCACCAGCAGATGGAGACAGTGAGCTTCAGATAAACCCAACTGAATTAATAAAGAGGACAGTGATTATAAGTGATGGGCTTCTGTGGGGAAACGTGGGACTTGGCTTTTTAAACTGATGTATGAATGAATAAAAGCTAAGAGTTGTGGCTTTAAGACCTTTTTCTAAAATGTATTTCAAATGATTAGAGTGCAGATAGACACTCAGTTGCCAGTGTATTAGGTACTTGTGGCTAAAATGAATGCAGTCTAATACAACAGTCAACAACTGAGTGTATAACCTTGTTGTTCAATATAATGGAGAATTCAAATCTAGATTTTTGCATGTGGGGATGTGTCTATACAGGGTGTCTACAGGTATAAAGAAGTTAAATTTAAGACTTTTAAATACAACTTTTAATTAAATTAAAGACCAAACTTGTGATGGACATACACATCACAAGTTAAAGTATACTCCCACGAGTCACGTGAACATGGTGAATGAAGGATTATCTCAGGTAGATGAAGAACAGATGAGGATGATCACCATGACTACCATCTAGAAGAATGACCTGCCCTTTCTGAATAGTGTACATGATCTTGTGTGTCCATAGTGGACTGAGCTGATCAGTGCTCCTAATATTTCCCTCCTCCTCCTCTGACTTGACTTTAGCGTAGATGCTACAGCTCTGTTACATGCATATTGTCTTGTGTAACACATCTACAGTTTGTACCCCCACTCTGTTTTGTATGTCAGTTTTACATAGTTTTATTTTGAAAGCAAAGTTTGAATCCCTTTTGGGATTCTTGTGTTTGACTTGATGGAGGTGGAGCTAACAGGGGGCAGAGAGAGGACAGGATTTATCAACTGGCCAAGCAATCATAATAGGAATACAGGCATGTTTACAACATTGCTGCCCACTTAGTAATCACTACCATCCTGTTAATAGAGCAGTTATCTTTCATATTCTAGGGTGGGCAGATTTTAGAGGGATTGTTAATATTTGTGGCCTAAAACAAAAGATTGTTGGGTTTGTTAATTGTTGATCTGTGTCTGAAGCTTTAGGCAGGAAACTTAATTTGGGCAAACTTGGTGTTCAGAAACAACAAAACTAAACTGTGTGCTGTGCTGTTTGTGCCAGTGCTGTTTCGAGGGCGCCATTTTGTTATATCTCAATGCATGTTTACCTGCCTCCCAATAAAGTAGCCATCATAGTTTGCTAACCTTCTCTCAGTCGACCTTTAACCTGAACTGTATTTTCCCACAATATTCTGTGATACACAACAAACTCCTGCAAAGCCAAGCAGCACCGACCCTTTAAATGTGCCAAAAATGTATAAACAGGTAAAGTCAAAGTTAGCATCACCTTTCCTGTCATATAAATCTTCATCTACACGCATATTAACACCAGTAAATAAAGTGTATTGGTGTAAAATATCCCTCAAAGACTTTTATTAAATGCACAAGGCAAACAAATATTGCAAATAAAAGACTCACTCATTGTTTAAGCATCGATTTTGAAATCTTATCAATTACTTTAAAGGCTCTTCATGGCCTGGCTTCAGACTACATTTCAGACCTGTTAGTCCCTTGTGAACCTCTGTGTAGTTTGAAGTCTTCTTCTTGTCCCAGAGTTCAGACTGAGGACCAAAGGGGACAGAGCTTTTGCCACCAGGGCCCTGAGGTTCTGAAATGACCTGCCTGAGGATATAAGGCTGTCTGAGTCACTGGCTTCATTAAAGTCTCTCCGAAAAATATACTTCTACCAGAAAGCTTATCCTGACTCTATCTGAGCTGTGTGTCTATTTAATTGCTATCTTACTGATTTTAATGACATTTTATTATTTTGATTTTAGTTTTGGCCTTCCTTATTTTATCTTTTGCTAGACAACATTTTATGATGTTATTTATTTTATTCTTTTTGTGTGTTAATTGTATTTCGTTTGACTGTATAGCACATTTATGTTTTGAAAGGTACCAAATAAATAAAGTTTATTATTATTATCATCCCTCTCATGTACTTTTGTGTGGATGTAGTGACAGTTACTGCAAATATGACAAAAAGTTATGTTATTTTTTATAAAAGTAACCAGCTGTATATATTAACAGATACTGAATAAAAGAGATTTGAACATGTATACACCTTCAGAGGCAATACGGATATAGAAAATGAAAAGACAGGAAAAAAACACAACACTAGATGACAGCACAAAATAAAATGGCCTTAAGATCCTCTTTTAATTAAAGAAAAGATTATTACTTAACCTGTGGTCCCACTGTTTTAGAAAATATTTTAAAATAAAGAAATCCTTGAATCTGCATCAGATGCAGCAGTGAAATATGCGATGTTGCACTCTGACCACTAGAGAGCTGCAAGAATGCATAAAATCCAAGTCGAAACACTGAATAGTTTCAGTGTTGACACAGAGTGTTAAAGTTATAATCAACTGTCCATCACTGCAGCAGTCTGATAAAAGTCTTCTCTCTGCACTGATAAACATCACCGTACAAACTATTTCCCAATCCAGATTTCCTTTCCCTCTTTCCTGTAACGTCTTGGTGAAGGAGCACATTGTGCGTTTATGTCTGTTTTTTTTGACAAATCTCAGCCTTCCTACTTTGGTCCAAATGCAAAACCATACTAAAGGATTACAAGATTAAACCACATTAACAGTCATAGTCATCATCACCATTAGTAGCCAGTGTAACAGCGGTGGGATTATCATCATCATTGTCATGAATCATTTCACTGAATTAAATTAAATCAGTGAAGGTTCAGCAAGCATGAAATACAGAGACAGTACTGGGCAAAATGGGCCCAGTTACTGACTGTATTTTAGGATTTCAAGCAGAAAAATAAAATTGCACCTCATTTCAGAGAGACATTAATCGTTAATTATAAAAAAAAGTAATGGTGAAGACATGCAAGTTGTGATCAATATTGGCTCCTTGGAGGACTGGTTGCCATTTCATAAATGAGCGGAAATAGCAATTAGCAAGAGCTGTAATGCCAAATAAGATCACATTTAAAAGAAAAAAAGTCTAAATTCTCTGATTCCAGCTTCTTATATGTGAATATTTTCTGGTTTCTTTGCTCCTCTATGACAGTAAACTGAATATCTTGGGGTTGCGTACAAAACAAGACAGTGGAGGATGTTACCTTGTGCTTTGGGACACAATGATTGACATTTTTCACCCTTTTCTGACATTTAATAGACCGAACAACTAATCGATTTGTCAAGAAAATAAACAACAGATTAATCAACATGAAAATAATCATTAGTCGCAGCTCTTTTACTGTCTTATGATATTATTTCTGTTTTTAACAGTAACTAATTCATCAAAATCGGTGCCTATAAAGGGAAAAGAAACATGAATGACATAAAAATTAACTGTCTCTCTGGCCTTACACCAGTGTCTGTAGTTCCCCCCACAGTCCTTATGATTCTTATCAGTGCCGTGAGAATCAACTCTAAAGGTCAAGTGGAGCTAAACTTGGACAATCACCAGCCTCTCCTGCTCAAATTGAATAGTGAGTAAGTAAAGCTGCCTGCACGCTGTGCCGCCGATGACTTTAGGATTCCAGTCAATATCACAGCTACGGGACAAGAGAGCTGTTTCATATGAGGTGCATTGCTGACACCGGCAGTGTACGCATGCATGCTTCATAAAGACCTAATGAAGCATTCACTTGACATTGGATTTTTTTTTTAAAAGTAGTGCCCTATAATTCACTTTAAGATGAGAAGACTCCTCTTGACCTGACTGCCTTGAGTCCCTGAAAGAATGTGAAGTGAAATCTTACTTTATTCTCACTCTTATTTCAGGATTGCAGCTCTGCTCTTTAAAAATATAGGGTGTTAAACATCTTATTGCATTGCTCTGTATAGCTAATATATATGCAGAGTGGAAAAACAAATGACTGATAATCTCAAATACAAAGTCAAATCCACATCAAACAGGAAACAAGACATTACAGCATTGATATCGCTCCCTCCCCTTCCCATATGGCATATGCTGCAATTCAAAAACAAACTACTGGGCATAATTTTGCAGAGCTTTACAAATAACATTCCAAACAGTGATTTATTCCACATTAACACAGTCAAATTCAGATTTCAGTTCAGGTCTTGTAACCCATGAAGGTGAACAATGTTGTTCTCCAAAGGCCTCCACGACACAAGAGCAGTATTATTAAGGTGAGAGGGAGCCGTATGAATGACCCGTAGAGTGCCTAATTAAAGAAATAAATTGCTTTATGTTGTATACACCCGTGGTATGCTTTCATTTAGAGTACATGTAATGAAAATAATGGCTTCAGAAATTACCACATCTGCACAACCAGCCAGAGTTTCCAGCACTGCAGGCAGTGTTCAGCACCATGGACAGCAACACACAGTGTTATGGTCCCTCAGGTTATTCTGTACACCGTTACAGTTTTCACACTTTGCTACAGGTACAAGCTACGCCAGAGACTCTAACAGAAACTCACAGGCCACCATACATTAAGGTTTTCCTGGGCTGAATCCAAAAACAAATAAGTTAAGAAATGTTTTTCTTGGAGATAAGGTGCTATCTCTTACTAGTATGATATTACTGGTTTAGCAGT